CGGACACGGAGCTCCAGGTGGCCAAATTCATCGTACCGACTGGCGATGAGGAGAAGATAATAGTCAGAGCGATGGAGATTGATGCGAGTCTGAGGGACAAGAGAACAGTGGAAGCGGACATCCCGGAGAGCTGGAGATTCCCCTCCTTGTTCAAGGGAAATGGGGTGCGTGGTCACCGCTATCACGTCTTCGACGAGCCACGGTATTTCAGGCCTTTCTAGTTCACTTGAACGCTGAAAAGATGGAAATGACACGACGAAACTAATACCAAAGATGCGTGAACATGCACGAAATGTAGTCTGGTTGTAATACAGACCTGTTGTCTCTCCCTTTCCATTATTGTATTTTGGACCCCAGAGAGTTATGGATAGGGAATTTCTGTGTACATACATCAGTATGTTCGAGAATGAGTTAGGGGCATTGGAGCAGAGAAGAGACGTCTGGAATCTCTGGCGTGCCGAACAAGATGATACCGAGGCTGCTTGCTTGCGGATCGGCAGGATGCGGTAGCGGTACATATGTGGCAGACTAGGCGCCAGGCTGCCTCATCCTTCAAAGGGAAAAGGGACAGGGGACTGAGACAGACTTTGCTTATTTTCTAAGCTTTCGAAGTTTGATTAAGGCTGTAGTTTAGTGTGTGATGCGAAGATGAGTGATGCGAAGTTGTGTGATGCAAAGATATGTGGTGAGATGATATCTAGTAAATCACAAGCGTGCTTGGAGAGGGGGCTATATTTATGCTTTTGCACAATATCCCGTTTTTTTACACAGCCACATCCACGATTCGTATACCGACCGAGATCCGATCCGCTCCACTGCTCTCTTGTTTACAAAGTCAAAGTCAAAGTAAAAGTAAAGTTAAGTCATGCATGATGTAGTCGAGAGAATTCGATATTTCTATCCCCTACCTCTTACCCCTTACCCCTTCATGTGTATATATATATATCTTTTTATAACTTCCTAAGCGAAACAAAGCACCGCCTCGGATACGACGTGATGCTATCCTCCACATCGCTCGAGCTCAGATCCGGGTCCTGGATGGCGAGGAACTCGAAGTTCCACACCAGGAGCGCAAGCACGATGCGCGTCTCCAGGTACGCTAGGCGCTTGCCGAAGCACATGCGCGGCCCCAGGCTGAAGGTCAGGAGGGGCCCGCTTCGGGGGTCGAAGATTTCTTTTCCTTCTTCGGGATCGGGTTTAAGCCAGCGCTCGGGTTTGAACATGTGCATGTCTGACGTGTCCCATTCGCCGTATTGGACGTTTCCCCTCTTTTCATTTACTGAATAAGAAGAAGAAGAGGAAGAAGGGGAAGTGTGGGGAGGAGAAGGGAGGGGCAAGGGAAGGGGAGACTCGGTATAGCTCGGTCCCTCGGCCACGATGAACACGGCCGTGTCTTTCGGGATATGAATCCCCAGGAGCTGCGTGTCGACCATGGCCTCGCGCAAGGTGACGGGGATGGGCGTGTGCAGCCGGAAACACTCCTCGATGACGGCGTCGAGGTAGGGCACGGACACCTTCCAGAGCTCGACGGCCGTCGGTTGGCGACCCTCCTCCTCTGGGTCTGGGTATGCGGCGCACAGGCTCGCGCGGAGTTTGTGCTGGGCTTCCGGGTGGTCGGCTAGGGTTTTGACCATCCCTGTGTATTTTTCAATTTTCATTGTTTGGTTAGTTAGTTGGTATGGAGGTGTGTATGATGGTGGTTGGGAGTGAGGAATTGGGGAAAGGAAAAAGAGAGTTTTGGGTCATCGTGAATGGACTCTGATGGAGACGAGAAGGGAAGAAGGGGAATGGCAACTTACACATCAGCGCGGTAGATGTCGTGTCATGACCAGCGACGATATATCCGAACAGCTATGAGACGACTCCGAGTTAGCCTTATAAGATCCTTTTGCCCTCATGTTCTCACAAGTATTCACTCCTATTCTGGGCACCAATCCAATGTTCAAGGCCGAAGGCGATACTAAAAGAAAAAAGAGAAAAAGATTATAGTAGTTTAAACGAAAAAAGGTAAGTTGAAAGGGAGCAATCTCACCTCATCATGAATCCTAGGCGAGTGAAACACCGGCGTCCGCCCCATCTTCTCCGCCTGGTTCATCTCCCGCTGCAAGACGAAGTCCATAGCCGACCTCAGCCCGCTCTCGCCCCTCCGGAGCCTCTCGACGGCCTTGTCGATCTCATTCCGTAAGAACTCGTCCTTGAGGCGGAAGTTGCGCCTCAGGCGCGCGTCCCTGAGCATGTTGACCCTGTGCGCGAGCACGGCGAAGGGCGCCTTGAACTGCTCACCCAGGTACTTGCCCACGGCCTCGATGGCGGCGATGGCCGGGAGCTGGGGCAGTTGGGGGAACGTGATGCTGCCGTCTTTCTCGTTGATCTTGAATGAGGATGAAGAGGATGAGAGGGAGAGAAGGTGGTCGAGCTGGTGCTTCACGGTGCTCTGCTCGTCGCCGAGACCAAAGGCGGCGGCGTTGATGATGTCGATGGAGGCGTCGACGAGGTCCTTGTGCGCGTCGAACGGCCGCCCACCGCCCAGTCTCGCTTTGACGGTCCATAGCTCGACTAGGAGTTGTGTCTTGGCGTAGATTTCGGGTGCCGAGACCTATATGGTTTTATTTATTTAGTTTTTTGAATCATTGCTTTGCACAACACCCCCATTTCCACCTTGACGTAGCGTTCAGGAGTGCCCAACCTGTATATCAAAGGTCCACAGAAGAGAGAAACGAAAGCAATAAACCCACCTCATGCAAAAACCCAGGCGTCATCAGATCCCTAACCAAGTCCCTGTTCCCCTTGAACCGGGGGTCCGTCGTGGGCATAGAGATATGGTGATCGGGCACGACGGTCGTGAACACGGTCGTGGCCTTGGCGCCCTTGTCGAACTCCCTCGACCGGCGGAGCAGCATGTCCTGGGCGGCGCGGAAGTCGGCCAGGATCAGGGCCGGCTTGCCGAGGGGCGTGAGCCAGACCTGCGTGAGCGCGGACCGGTGCCGTCGCACGTGGCCCGAGAAGAAGGGGCGCGCGCGGCCCGTCTCGCGCACCATGGCGACCAGGTCCGGTAGGTTGCCCATGATGCGCCGCCGCGCGTGCTCGTCGTACGGGATCCCCGGGATGGGTTTGGGAAGGGCCCATTGGTACAGCAGGTATGATGTCGTCGCTAGAGCGAGCGCGACGAGGATGAGGAGTGAGATCATTTTTTTTTTCGGAGCGAGCGGGAATAGTAGCTTTCTGGAGAGAGAGAGCGAGGTAGCTAACCTAGGTAAGTACTTAGGTAGGTAGGTCAAATGATGGACGCTTTACCTCTCTCACCGTGTGAGGGAGAGGGAGACCCAAGCTGGTCAAGGCTCCGCTCCGCAGCGTGAAGTCTAATAAGAAGCGTTGCAGAAGTATGTGGTTCGTGACAACAAGTGATGACTTAATCACCGGCCTTTTGGGTGGGATAATGATATATCTATATATACCTTCTCTTTGGTATGAACCATACTATTTGAAGAACTAACCTAGATACCTATTTCCAGGCATGCGACACCCATGTGTTTGTTAGATGCAGAACCACGTGTTTTTGGGTCAGCGTACGTCAGCCCTTGCAGGGCCTTTACAGATTGTCCCTAGGTTAATCCTACCTACTGGGGCTTAGATCACAAACGCATGACTATGCTTCCAAGGGTAATCCGAACAGTTAATCTGCTTCGCAAACCAGGACGCATACAGAATACCTGGTTGAGAGATACAGAAGCTGAACAACGGCATCTTCAATTCACCCTCGTACCGAGATCCTCTTTGCCTCCTTTGTACTTTTGGACCTGCAGAGGGGGAGGGAAGGCAGTTTTAGCTCACCTGTCAAAGCAAAGGGGAATGCGGGTAATATTCCATGTGGGTAACCGTTACCAGTTGGACGAACCATCTTCCAGAAGTCGGAGCAACTCAAGAACCCGAAATTCCGGGTACAGCCCAAGAACTCGACATTGCTCAGTTCAAGTATTAAGTACCGCCCGAACGCAATACAAACAACAATATGATGAGCGGGGAAGGCGAAGTAAAAAAGCCAGGATGATGCAGATCGCAAGATGTTACTGTTTTTTTTCCTAGCGAGAGGTAAGAGGAAAGAATGCAAATGGGTAACTTGGGATAGGTAACCGCACTTGTACAATGCAAAAGATTGCAAAATCCCTTGAAGTACGGAGGTTTCGGCTAAAATCACTCATTCAGCCAAAGCCAACCCTCACCGTACCTAATGATCTCCACAACGCTTATGCGGTACTTTATCAGCCTGGTTACAGACTTGCAGTACACCAAAAATTGTATGTAATCACGCTCTGCATTGCTTCACTTTTCTCGTACTTAAAAGATAAAAAATGGTTAAAGAATATCCCCTCGCAACTCGCATTCAAGCCCTTACACTCCATTCCGAGGGCCTCCCCAGAGCCAAAATCGCTGAAAAGCCAGGCTACACGGTCCCCGGCCTCGCCTCACTTATAGCCAAAGCGCGCTCTCGCGGCTATGTGCCGGGGGGCAGGGCCTATCCTGGCTGATTACGTCGACTCCGCGCCGGGCAAGGGGCGCAAGCCCGTTCTGGACGAGGCCAAGAAGCAGCAGATCCGCGACATCATTACCGGCAGTGAGGCCGCGCGCAAGTTCTCCTCGGCCAAGCTCACGGAGATGTTCAACGCCAGGATCGCCGCGCCTGGGGTGTCGTCGAATACTCCCGACGCCGCCCCTGTCCTACCAAAGGGTATTTCGAGGCGTACGCTGCTCCGGTTCATGAGGGCAGATGGCTTCACAGGCGCGAATTACACAGCCAAGCCAGGTCCGGAAAAGGCAGAAGAGCTCTGTACCACACATATGTAATACTCTCTCTCCCAAGAACAGAGCAAAAAAAAAACAAGACAATGAAATACCGCACAAATGAAGACCAAAAAAAAAGAGAGCATTGCAATTACCACATCATCATGGCTAACCAGAGGAAAACAAAAACAGGAGAAAAAAAGGAAAAAGAAAGAAGGAGACTCCGAATCGGGGAATCGAACCCCGGGCTTGACGGTTCATGAGTAATGAGAGCGTCAAATGTTAGCCACTACACCAATTCGGATTGAGATTATGCGTCGCTTTTTAGCTATATGTACCACACTGCCAAAGACTGGGCAGGCAGTGACACGTCTAAGTGGGTCAGCGGGTGCCAATATTGCGACAACTGAGGAGAAACACCAATCGCCTTTTAACAACATGTGTGTCGGGGACGTTGTTCCAATGTCGAGAACATACAACCATGCCTTGCATACAGCAGTATACAGCAGATAGAATAAAAAAAGGCACGTCGTACTGATACTTGAGATAATTTCTGGACTAAGAGGCATCGAATACTCACGGTAGTTTGTGACACCTGTAGGTTAGGGCTTACATCGGTCGGGATACGTGAAACAACACAGCGATTGAAAACACAATGCACCCTTTCCCAGTAGCAAGACAAGGTAGACAGAGGAGATGAAGTAAATATAATTTCTGCAGCTATATATGGAAAGTAATTTGCCAAAAGTAAATATTCCCCAGAGTATGAAATTCATCATTCATGATTTAAGGAAGAAACGTCACAAAGCAAAAGGAAATATGTGTTCAAACTTCAAATGCAGCTAACTCCCCCAGTCGCCCACAAAACCCGACAGCCAGGACGGACTCTATTTGATGACGGGGTGTTTCAAACAAACCGAGTCGAAAACAACAGACACAAAACAGTAAAGAGCTGATAACCTGGCGTCCTATATCCCTTCCACCACCGCTGTCCAGACTCCGGTACCTTACAGGTGGTCACTACAGTAATTTGTAGGAGAAGATACTCTCTGGTGATGGTGGTTGGTTCCAGGAGATAGCAGAGTCGAGATGGAGTCTGTTGTTGAGTGGTGCGTGTCGCCAGTCGATGCCGTATCCGAGCAGAACCCGAAGATATTCAGAACATCTCTCGTAAGATATGGCGGTGCCTATGGTCTCTGATCAAGCGATTCGGGTCAAAACTCGGTGCATCGACGTATAGTGGGGGCGATTGCGGCCTTTTCGTGTCTTCGAGTACAGCCTCCCTGAAATCTATATAATCCATATAATCCATGCGTACCGTATGCTTTACAAATGAAGTCCACATATGGACCATAAAAGTCTCTGTGGCTCTAAGAGAAGTCTGTCTGTCTCTAGGAGAAGTCTCTCTGTCTCCAAAGACAGTTGTTTTCATGCAACTAGTTGAAACATTGGAAGTCCTGCAAGTCCCTGGATCCTCTAGACCCGCAGCCTTAGCGGGCGGCGGATCAAATAGCCGAGCGAATTCGAACTCTCCACCGTCAGTAAGACGCTGGTGCAGAAATGCTGCCAAAGGGCGCACGTCCTTTCCATCGCTGCTTCCGAACAGCTCGTGGTCAACCAAACTTTTAATGACCCCGTCTTTGGGTTCGATATGTTGCGCTACACACCGAGAGCAAAAGGCTTCTAGTGGCGTTTGATCTCGGTAGCACTTAGTTCCTGCAGTGGGATAGAGCTCTTGCAGTCTTTCAACACAACCAAGTGATACGGAGCAACGGAGAAAATGTAGTGGCGTTGGCTTTGAGTCCTGGAGAATGTCGACTGGAACATTAGCCTCTGTCAGTGCCTGTACAATAATCTCCAATCCGGTTAGCGCTGCCATATTCCACAGAGAAGTGCTCGATTTCCAACACGAGGCATCTCCATCACATAATCGTAAAATCCTTGCAATGGCGCTGTTATGCACTGTCAAGTCTCCATCAGGGCCATGGAATCGGTGATTAGACATTTTAGACAGTTTATAAACCAGAAATGCTAGGGGTGTTTCTCCGTTATTGTTCTCCATCCGCAGGGCTTCCTGTCTCTGCTCCCCGCATAATTCCACAAGAGTTCCCAGGGCAACCATGGAAAAAGGGCCATATGACTGGCTGGGTATCATTTCGTAATGCCAGGCGGTCTGGCCGAGCTTAAGATCGGGTGCAGTTGACGACAGGCCGCAATCGAGGAGAAACTCCATCCGTTGTCGTTCGGTGATTGCTATATCAAAAAAAGGCGAGAAGTCGTATCGGTATGATGGCTGAACCTGGTAACCACAGTCGATCAAGAATCGCACACTACGCCTCGCTCCATAGAAGACACATCTATGTAGCACATCGGTGCCAGAAATAGCTGGGCTGTCTCCTGCATCATCGTCTTGGTCGTCAGAACCTGTAATGCGCATATCCTTCATGCAGTCTTCAATCAGCTGCACATCATCTCTCTTTGCGGCATGGTCCAATCGTTCCTCAAAAATATCTCGAGTCAAGGAAGTGCATGCAGGGAGCATGTTGGCGTCCTTGAGGAATTCACACTCCATATCCACAGCTAATTTCCAGGCCGAAACACACACGTCATAGCCGCTCTCAGACTCGAATGCTCTGACGGAATTCAGAGCACTTATTAGGTTGAGTAATGACTCCGGAACCCTGTGCTTCCTGCGAATTGTCCAGTCACTTCTTCGGAGGTCAGGGCAAACCACCCAGCCGAAGGCTTCCGCTTCAAAGGAAGACACAGTCCAGCCCATACGGACAAGGTGCACCATTGGTGCAAAGTCCCCTGACATCAGTAAACAACAGATTGCATATACCATAATACTTTGCTGGTTGAACTCTTGAGGGGGACTTTGAAGTTTGGAACCTGCGGATCGGAGTAGCTCAATCGTCTTTCCTGGGCAATGGAGGGCGTAATCGAGGTGTCCGTACCTGCCGTCATAGAGCTCCATGACGCTGGAGGGATCTGATCGGTATTGTCTAATGCAGAAATAACGCGCGATTGCACATTCCAGCGGAGTACCTAGAGGTGAAACAGTATTCCAATCCGGATCAATACTGATGAGATATTCGCAGATTTCAGGGAGATCCAATGCGGCCGCGATGTGAATTGGACGGAGTTCCATGCTCGCAATCGAATTTGCCGTGCTTTCCCTGCATGTCTGGGTCAGGAGGGGACTTAAGGGTTGGACAATGCAAGTCATCATTGTGGCGCACAAGGAGGATGGTAGCCCACAATCGAAATTCTGGGCTTTTGCGAGGATTAAATAGAGACTTCCCAAGCTGCAGACAGATCGGATCACTGGGTACTTGTCTTATAGCGGTGATCCACTCTTGGGCAGCTGCCAAATAGAACCTGCGTAGAGGCCCATTTTGTAATTATATCCTCTGTCAACTCCTGAATGGACAGATCGGGTCGAGAGACAACAGACGTGGAGCTGAAGTTACCCAGTTGCAGACAGCGAAGGTATTGTTGTACCAGCGTAGCGTTGCATGTCGCCTCAGAGACAAAGTAGCTTGCAAACTCGGGGTTGCTCGACAACGTCTCTCGTTCTAGAAACTCTCGAACGGTATAGTGCGAATACTCAAGCCGTCTTTCACTTTCCGAGTATCGAACAAGACCGCTGCATTGGATGACGATTTCTTCCTTGGTAACGATGTTATATTTTGTCAATGTGATGGCGATATTTTCAGGCACAGATACTGCTGCACACAGCGCGTCGGCGTCGAGAGTGTGCCATTGTATAGCCAGTAGTTGGAGACATTTCCGAACAAGATCGCGCACACGGTGATGTTTCTGATTGATTCTCTGCAGAATCCGCTCGTATGTAGCGTCCAGGGTGGGTGGAAGCTCTCTCAGCGCCGCCGCGCGGTCGGCATCTGTAGGACAGTCACATAGATAGTCGAGCTGACAAGTGACTAGCCGAAACCTGTGGGGGACTCGTTAGCCCCGTACCGACGCACAGTTACATGTTCGATGACTTACATTCCATCGGCTCTGTTGCAAAGCGTAGCATAAATCTTATCTTTCAGCTGCAGGTTACCAATGCGCAGCCTGCCGTCTTGCTTTCGCTTATCAAGCTCGGCGCCAACATACAACAAGAGATCTTCTTTATGGGCACTGATCAAAACCTCAGGGAAACTGTCACGAAGCTTGAGCTTGATGAGGTGTTCACTGCGACTGAGCAACGCCATGCTGACATTGGGTTGGTAGTCCGCAAGTTGGGTCAAGGCGTCGACAACTGCGTCGACATTGTCGCCACATTCATCTAAGCCATCGACAACGACAATCACTTGCTCAAAATCCTTGAACATCTCTTCAAGGCAGTCTTGTAGTAGGTCAGGATCCAGGCCCTTCGGCAACCCGTCTCGAGGGTTCAGCAAGTTATACAGCTCTTTTAGCTTCTTGAATGCTTCGCCATTCTGACGCGCGAGCTGCGACGCTATCGCACCGGGGATATTGGATGGCACAGCCGACTGTCCGTCTTTGTAGTCGCAGTAAAAGAAGGCGACAGCCACTTTCGGAGAGCTCTTCCCCTTTTCCAGGGCTTTCTGTATCATGGCTCCGGCCAGAACGGTCTTACCGGCGCCGGGAATGCCGCTGAGCCACATCTTGGACCCAGGCGTGTCGATCCACTCTTGGAATTGACGGGAGCTTGTAAGCCAGTTCCCCGTCCCAGGATGTCTCATCTTTATGCTGGTGTCAAGGTTGCGTTGAGGATTGACTTTCAAGAAAAAGTCCAAGATACGCTGACGCTCAGAATTCACTTCAATTCTGGTGAGGGATTGAAGATTTTTGATATCCTGCCCGAGGGACGATATCTGCGACGTAATGTCTTTGCTGTGGCTAAGGAGCTGGATTAGGGAGCTTAGAGAATCGACGCGAAGTGCCAGGCTCATCGTCTCATGATGGCGTGCCAAGTGCTGCGTGAGCTCCTTCGTTTTCGTTTTGGTAAAGGGCCACTTGAGCTAAGCCTGGACTCTCATGAGTCTCCCACCGGTTGTTGGTGTTGCGGCCTTCTTGACGCGTGTTTGAATCTCCTTCAGCAATTTCTCCGCGTCCGCGACGTGGCCAGTGTGGTTAGACTGGTTGGAGCCATCTTGCTCAAGGTTGTCTGCAAGGAGTTTAAGACTGTGCAACACTCCAGCAAAGTTCTGGATTTGTGTGGCAAGCTCCTTGATCTCGTCCGAGGCGTCAGACTGACTTGAAGTAATGGTAGACACCTCGGAATACATCTTCTGCCAATTTAATAAGTCCTGCGATTGATGTAGCAATTGT